TTATTGTTAATCTCTTATTGTATCTAGTTTATAAATTAAAGTTTATCTTGGGTATGTATATATAGGAAAAACACAGTATATATAGGGTTCTGTACTATTTGCAGTTTCAGGCATCTACTGGGAGGTCTTGGAATGTATCCCCAAAGGATAAGGGGGACTATTGTACAAAGAGAAATTAAATCTCCCACCACATACGAGAGGCTCTATTTATCCACACCCTCACTACTGTGACTTTGTTATTTGGACTACCTAAATATGATATAATTAACTCAGCCTGGGGGTAGACCTGGACTCAAATGTAGGAGACAGAAATATTCTCTGCCATGAGGAAACTATAGGTAGAAAATATGAGGCAAAGGCATAGCCAGCGAGGGACACTGCTGTGACCTGTCAACAGATCCAGAAGCTGGGGAATGGGTTTATTACCCTGAAGAAGGGATCTGAGCAGAGCCTCACTATGCAAGAATAGCATAGTGTTAGTGTTGAGATCTAGAGCAAGAATGCCTGGGTTTGTAACCCGTCTTGACCATTCACTAGTTGTGTGATCTTCAGCAAGATATTTAACCATTTTGTGCCTCAGTTTCCTCAGTAAAATGGAGTTAATATTAATTTTCTTATGTTTTTCATGAGTATTAATTATTACACTTTAGGGTTGTTTTTTTCCCCCCTACATTTGTCCTTGTTTTATGATTTTCAAGGACATTTACTTCTTTCAGGGTAGATTTCTCCAAAGTAATGAATAGATCTTAGTCTTGGTGACTAATTGGCTGTAGGAATGAAGGAAAGCAATAAACTTTAAAACCTATTTGACTGGGAGAATATTAGTACAACAATTGCACTAAGGTGTGTCGGGGAGTGTACTGACTGCTCTATCTGATAATATTACCTCTGTTGATGGAAGAGTATAACTTTGTGCTGGAGCTGGCTCACACTGGCTCACCAGAGATGGTAGTTAAATTTTCAGAAATTTTGTAAGCCAATTATTAATCACCATTATTTAGAATTACTTTATATAAATTTATAACAAGATAGATTATATTTTTAAAAAATAAATACTGAAAATTCATCACTTCCTAATTACTACATTTTACTATTATCTATACTCTTGAGTTATTAATGTCTATTGTATTTGTTTGGAAGGAGTATTATGTAAGGGTGTGCTACTGGTCTGCATTCAGTGATATCACATTGGGAACTTAAAATCCCCCATGGTGGGAATATTTACACCATAAAACTGGCAAAACACTACAAATCAGGGCTTGATTTAGTGTTCTGTTGATTGTCTAGACTTAAGAAAGTGATGGACAATTTGTTAATAAGGCAGATTAAATTTAAAAGTGTGTTGTGTCCGTAGCCATTACATTGTAAAAAGCACAAACAATTGCAGAAATATTCTTCTGGTATGCGAAAACCATCTTCTAATTCAGCAGAAGAGCTCATATCACTGACAAATAAGAGAAGCTCTGACATATGTCTTTATTGTCTCATTTTCATTTCACTTATTAATGTAATCAAAATTATCAATGAACATTTATGTCAGAATGACACTCAGTTATTAATCGCAACCATAGGTTGGCTACAAATGTGAGTTGGGCAAAAGTCTTTGAAACATTTTGTGAGAATCAATTGACTATTTGAAATTTACAATAAAGAGTATTGTATAGTTTATTATTTGTAAATTATGTTCTTTATATCCATATTTATGTAAATTACGTTCTTTATGTCCAATTTATAATGAACGAAGACATATATGAAAACTTTTAATTCCAAAGAGGTGGTTGTTCAGTATTTAATAGCACATCACTCACTGGTGGAGCTTATGCAGGGCATAGTATGAAAATGAAATATTGTATGTTTTTCTTTTTTAATATTATGTAGATTGTATGCTGAGAGTTAGTGCTTGTCTTGAGACATATGCATGTGTGTCTGATTTAATGGTTACCTATTGGATGACCAGGAAGGATCTTTACTCTGCTTTACTCTTCATCTCACGCAAACCTGGAAAGATCCAGTCTATTCTGGACTCTTCTACAAAATCCTCCCTCTAATTCCCACCCGATGGTAATATTAGTAAACCTAAATGACTCCTATTTGGGAAAATGTACCATTAGGGATTGCAGTACCAGCAGAGTGAGAGGTATTCGAGACTTTTCTCTGTGGAGGTTTGAAGATGAAACTCCCAAAAGGGACCTGAGCACAGGGGACAAGGGTATGTTCATCAGGTGACTTCCTCTGAGGACTGAACTTGGAGTGGTAACAGATAGGGTGGGTGGCTTGCCCCACTTCTTCTGAAATCACATCCTATTTTTGAGGGGAGGAATGTGGAGATTTTGTAGAGAAGTTTGTAGAAAATCTTGTAAGAAGCTGAAAGGAGCCCGATGCTAGAAGTTTGCATAGAAGTCTCTTGAGAAGCTGAAAGGGGAAATTTAGATGAAGCAGAGAAAGGGAAGTGCAGCCCCCAAAACACAGATGTGGGTTGTTATATTAAGATCAGCTGTGCCTACGAGGTGGCAAGAGAGCCTAGAAAAAGACATGTGAACATGGCCACTTCCATGCTGAAGAGCCACCATCCCCAGGCCCAGAGAGGACACTTGCTTCCTTAGAAGAAAATAAGATACAGGAGGTAGACACCCATTGGAATAGAGAATTGAGAGAGAATAAGCACACTGTGGAAGAGGGGAGGGTACATGTTCAACAATGAATAGGATAAAAACAACTTAGAAGACAAAGGACTTTGGGGGCTGATGATGGTCAACAATTTGCTTCCTGTAGAACTTTCTTTCCTTGGCTTTCAAGACCTGCCATCCTGATCCTCTGATAGCTTTCTTCCAGTCCACTCAGGGATGATGAGCAGACCTTGAGTGGCAAGGCACACTGCTGATAATTAAATAAATCCTTGAAAGAAAAACAGAAATGGCCAGCTAAGACTTTTATAAAGAAAGGGTTTCCGTTTTACCAATTTTATTTCTTGTAAAATGATGATGTGAAGAAAAAGATAAACTGTTTGCCCAGTTCTGGACTCCCAAACTCTGGAGAGAGACGGATGCTGATTTTAGTTGTGTTTCGGGGTGGGATACCTTTTGGGGAAACAGTCACTCCCGTGTGGCTGAGAGCTATGACTGGCCCTTCTGTGTCCTCCCCGCCAGGGACCACGGTGGTTTGAATGATGAGCGCCACCTGCAGGTAGAAAACTAGAGACAGGAGAAAGTATCTGAATACTGTTTTAGCATCATTAGGCCCACTAAACTCTCTTTGTCCCATCTCTGGTTTGTTTCATCCTTAAATTTAGTTTCATTGTCATTAAGAGACAACATGTCAGGTCCAGTTCTGCAGGGGTAAGCAGCTCTAATTTTGGCAGAGTCTAAGAGACCTGACCACCTCCTTCTCAGAGAAAACAGAGTCCATCTGTGGAGAACTCCATACTCTCTCATCAAGTCATTCAGAATTACCACTTCTGTACTCCATCTCTGCCTTGTTCTGGGTTCAGTGGGAAAAGTGTCCCCCTCCTAAGATTAATGCCTCTAGGATCTCCTCCACCTTCTCCCACAACCTGTGTCTTCAACCTTCTCTTTACTTCTTCCTATCATTATTTAAACATGCCTAAGACTCTTCTATCTTAAAAATATTTAAAAAGCCAGAAAAGAAGCATAACAACTGTCTGATCCTATAATCCAATAAGTTGCCGCCTAAATCTTTCTTCCTCTTCACAGTCACACTTCTGCAAAGAGCTGACTGTGCTTGCTGCGTCCACTTCCTTCCCTTTCTTTCAGTCTTCTGTCCATTGCCATCTCGGTCTCATGCCCCCTCACTAGGAGACAGTGCCATGTCCCCCAGCAGTCCCAGAGATACTTCTCTCACCTGATGTATTAGTAGTGTTTAAATGATAATCTCTCCTTCTCACTGGAAATACTCTTTTATTATGGGTCAAGGATACACATATTCCTAGCCTCTCTCCTACATTTCTGGCTTCCCTTTGGTGCTCCCATCTGGTGGATGTCACTATTATGTAGCCTGATTCTCAGGCCATCTGTAGATGACCATGGAGTCATCTTTGAGCATCTTCTCTCGCTTGCCACATCCTTCAGCAAATCCTGCAGTTGTGCCTTCAATATCGGTTTGGAATCCCACTCTTTCTCAGGTCCTCTTCTGCCAGCACCCTGATCTCAGCCACCCTTATCTCTCACTTGGGACACTACAGCAGCCACTTGGCAATCTCCCTACCTCTCTATTCTAGCTACCACACAACAGCCAGAGTGATTCTCCACAAATAAATCACATTATCGACTCTCCTCTTCTCAGTTCTCCAAGGTTATCCCTCATCCTCCTTAGGCTTCAGGTTATATGTCACCTCCCTATAAACTCTCCTTGAGCTTCTCCTAATTTGTTTCAGAAGCCCTTATTCCAGTGTGTCATAACTCGTCTGTGTCCCACAGCTTCCTGAGCTCAGGGAGGGCAGGAACTGTGTCTGTCTGTTGTATCCATCCTGAGTGCATGGCACCTAGTAAATATTCCGTAAAAAACTGATGTACTGTTCCCCACCCCACACCACCCCCTATTTCTAGACATATAATATTAACATATCAGGGAACAAACTGCAAACGAAGGAAAGCAAGGTAAAATTCTGACAACTAACTGATTGTTGAAAGAAGTTCCCAAATGGGCCCCAAACAGTCTAAAGACAGTTCGATGAGCCTTTATATTTTCTTGTAAAATGTCGCCCTGTGGCAAAAATAAAACCTTGTGCTTTTACGGGATCTGATGACCCAAAGCTGCTGATTTCACCTGTGGCTCTGTCAGTGGCCCATAAGCCCTGAGCTTAGTTAGAAACCGGTGCAAACAAACAGACAGAGAGGCCAGATGTCTGGCGTGCGGATGGCCAGCCTTCGCTATGGGCTCCAGATGATGGGGAAGATTAGAGGTTGACTAATCAAATCCTGGCCTGCTGTTTACAGTCAAAGGTAGCATAGTGGCAGGGAGGAGTTTTCCCGGAAACGAAAGCGAAAGAGTCAAAGTTAACAGCTCGGATTTGCGGAGGGACTGGCAGTCCAGGCGGGACGAGCAGAGCTGAGGATGGCTGCGCCCGGCTTCTTCCCGCTGCTGGTCGAGGGGTCCTGGGGCTCCGACCCCCCGAAGAACTTGAGCGCCAAGTTGCAGATGTACTTCCAGAGCCCAAAGAGATCGGGCGGCGGGGAGTGCGACGTTCGCCAGGTGTCCGGGAACCCGGCCCATTTCCTGGTGCTCTTCCGGGAGAACGGTGAGGGGCATCCGGGGCGGGGGTGAGAGTGGGGACAACCCGCTCTTTCCCCAGGGGAAACTTGGAACTGGGGCACGCAGAGGGAGAATCCGCCCGGCTCCAGCAGCAGTTGGGGGGAGAGAAGGGCGTGTTGCAGAATGGACACAGAGTGCGGGGCACGGGGGGAGCATCGCGGAGCGTCGCGGTCCCTCTCCCCTGCGCTTCCGAGCCCTCTCAGGTGCTGCCTGCAGGTAGCGGCAGAACCCGGCACGGCAGAACGGAAAGGCGCTGACTGATAGCAAGTTCACTCACCTTTTTACAAGGCTGCGTAGTGTGTTAATGGCAGAGTTGCCATTCCATTTTTTTGTCTTCTACCTGTAAAAGCAGCAGTTTTAGAGTTCTAAATGTTTATGAGAACACGATTTTAAGGGAAGAGAAAGTTTCCAGAACAGTCACATCCTAACTGACTCCTGAGGGTGAATTCCGCACCTAATAGGGAAGATACCCGGTAGGGCTCTTCAGATGCGGGTATGCTGCATGATTAAGTGCTGGGGGCAGGAAAGCACAAGGCATCTTCAGGGACCAGGCAGGGTGGTTTGACTAGCTGGTGATCTAGAACATGTGGGCTCTGGGAAATTTTATAAGGTTACAAGGGGAGTCTCTTATATTTTAAAATTTGTAGGCTTTCTGTTATTAAACCTCCTTTTCTTGTGAAGAGGTGAGGAAGAAAGTTGGGTTGAGATGATAGAGGGTCTTGTGTGACATAATAAGAAGTTTGAACTTTACCCCACAAGTAGTTAGGGGAGAAACATGTCCAAATGTACTTTGGGGAGATTAATTTGGTTGAAAATAAGTACATTGATTTCTGTCAGGAGAGACTATGAAAATGAGACTTTTAAAGAGATCCACGCAGCGTTCTAAGTGAGGACAAGTGAGTCCTTTCACAATGAAAGTCAGTGTGGGGATAGAAGATATACCTATTTGTGTACTGTTCTGGATTTGGTAACTGGTTCTATGGGAATGACCTATGCTCCATTTGAGACGGAGGGAAGGGAAAACCTCTTCTATTTCTGTTAATTTTTAGGTGGTGAAGGAAAGGGGTTAAACAATGTAAGGAATCATGGGGATTTCCCTGGGAGTCATGGAGATTCCCAGTGGTTCTGGGGTCACCTGGGAGAGAGGCAGAGACACTACCTAAAATCACATTGTCTGCATGAAATAGAGTTATTGGAGAGGGAAGACAGTGTGCTGTTGATCCACACACAGTTTTGAAGTCTGCTGCTACCTCTTCCCTCAGTTTCAAGGTTGTCCTCAGACGGGGTTGAATGTGTTTGGGAGTTTCCCAAGTTTCAAGAGGGAATTTCCCTTCCCACAGCCAGTTAGCTGAGCAACGGCATTCTCCCCTTGTCCAGCTTGTTGTTGCCATTTAAGAAAGGGAGAAGACAAATACCTGCCAAATATCTGCTTGCTTAAGACACCCACCTGGCTCTGTGCTGGAAGACCTGCTGCTCCCAGAGCGTGCACTTTCTCCACTGGAATCTCATAGGAAAGGATGTAGACAACCCATGATCCTGCCTGTCACTGGATTTGGAGAAGCTTTTGGGCCAGAGGAGAAGCAAGGAGGCTTCCAAGGCCCTGAAAGCAATCGAGGTACTCTAGGCATGGATCTAGAAAGGAAAGATGAAACCCAGAGCGGAGAGGGGTGCACAGTGAAGGAAGTGAAGTGGACGGGGACAGGAGACTTGCTTGGCTCAGAGTCTTTATAAAAACAAAGTACCAAGTTTTCTAAAGATTAATCTCGCCAAGGAATGCGCAGAAGGGAAGCTGTACAGTGTTAAGTTATTTCCTCAAGGGATGTTACTACTTTAATTCCAGAAGGGAAGCTGTGCAATGTTAAGTCATTTCCTCAAGGGGTGTTACTACTTTAATACCAACTGTTAACATCAGCATAGGCCCGGCACTTAGGGACCCTTCTTTCTTCTTCAGCATCCCATTATCCTTAGGAGTAGTTCTCAAATTGGGGCCGCAAACTCCCTGCATCCTGACTCATAAAAGGTTAAACAGACACAGCCCCAGCTTGGTCACTTAGACTCAGCAACCCTGAGTGTGGCTGGGTGGGAATCTGCACGTTGAACCAGCACCCCAGGTGGCCCTGGTGTGCTGAAGTTTGGGAATCTCTGTTGTTTGTTGATGACCCTGAATGAACAAAAAGGGAAACAATTATAGAAAATACAAACAGCCTAAAAATACAACCAGCACAATATATAATTTTGTGATGATAACATGATTCCGTTCTAGCCCTCAAAGCAGAACAGTCTCCTGCCAGGCTAATTCCTTCGCATCTCCCAGCCCATTACCCCCTTCCCCTACCCCCAGGCTGCTCCAATGGCCCCTTCATCCCCTTCATGTTACCCTCAGCACGGACATCTCAGACTTACTGCAGCTCAAGACCTTTTATGATCAAAGTTCCTGAGGGAGTGGAAAGTCCCTATTCAGTTTCAGTTTCCTACCAGAACAACCACTTTCTCAGCAAGCTGTCAGTAATTTGCTAACAATGAATGACCTGCCTTAGCAGTCCTAGGGCAGGAGTTCTTCTGCAGAAATACCCTCTCTCCACACCAGGAAGTGGCTTCAGCAGGTACAGGCCATAATATAACACGATTTAGTCATATAATTCACATGATAAGAACAAGCCCATCAGGATTTCTCTGTAGAAACTACTGTATAGCATACAGGAACTATTTAGAAGCTATATTTTACTTTTATGTAGTTTATCAAATTTCTGAAAAGTTTAGTATAAACTGACTCAGAAGATTTTAAACCCCATTCCTGATGTGTACATTTACTCCCTTTCTGGTCATAATTTGGCTCCTGATTATTGTCCACCTCTTTTCGGTAAGGGATCCCATCTTCTCTTTAAATAAAAGTAAATGTGGCTGGTCTGAGGTTGGTGCAGATGGGAGACGGTCCACATGGATCAGGGTGGCTGGACATCAGAGTGGAACCTCTTTTTCCTGCCAGATTCACATTCTTCTTCTTGGGGAGCACTTACTGATATTGCTACCATCTGCTTTCTTGAAGAAGTGGTACCTATACATATTGCACACAGAACAGACTGGCACACTTAGATACCTGGATAGGATTCTATGGAAGTCTGGGGAATAATAAAAGGAATTCATCACAGAAGTCCATGAGTCTGGACAACTTGGCTTACAAAACTTAGCTTCCTCTCTGGCTTCAGGGGTCTTATCCTGTCCTCGCTCTAGCTTAAGGCAGCCCCTTAGGAGTACATGTGAAAATATCCGCCCTCCCATAAAGGGTGAAATTAAGAGTCTGGCATTTCTTCTCATATTGTTTCCGAGGTGTGTTTCATCCAGTTGGCATCTAGATGAGGCCTCACTTCCCTCACCCCTTCATAAATAGTTGAGGTGGAAAAGCTATTCAAGCTCCTTTTTTTGAAAGATTGCTACCTATATCCTCGGCCTCATCAGGCCAACATTATCAGAATACACTATGGCAGAGCTGTGCCTGTGAACTGTATGGCACTTTCAAAGGTTCCCTTCACCCTTCCTGAGCACACCTTCTCGTCTAAACTCACACATTCTCTGTTGTTCTTTTTTCCCCTTTCTCTCTCTGGTTGGTCTTTCTTATAATTATAACTTAATTTGCATAGCTTTTGTGGGGGTTACAAAATTCATTCACAGACACTGGTTTGAGTGAGGAAAGAGACTTAAGAGAAGTTAAGATATTTCCTGAATATCTCTCATCTAGTTCATGGCAGAGTTGGAATTTGAATCCAGGTTTTTGAACACTTGTGTCCACTGTTTGTTTTTTCACTACAGCCCAACTTCCTGATGTGTTAATTTTTTAAAAAATCTCTCCTATCCCTTCTTGTCTACTCCTTTTACTAATGAATGTGAATCTCTTCTCTTCACAGGTCAAAGAATTGATTGAAACAATTCTTTTTAACAATTCTTTTTAACTAGGTTTCTGGCCTTCTGCTCCTGGTCACCTATGTTACCTTCCTAAAAGATGGCTTTTATTATGCTATGCCCCAGCACCCAGTCTTCATTGGCTCACCATGAGGGATGCTTTAATTGCTTCCCTTTACTGTGAATAAATATTGCTTCCTTTCTGAGTGCCCACTGAGCATCAGGTACCGTATTAAATTTTTCAATTTACTCCACCTAACACCTACATAAGACGGTCTTCATTAATTACTTATTAATATACAAGAAGACCGAGGTTTTTGAACATGCTTAAGGTAAAAAAAATAAATAAATAAGTTTAAAGATGGAATTCAAATCCAATTCTGCTTGTCAAACTTTTCCTCTTTTTGCCGCACAAGAATTCTCTTGGGAAACTGACCAAGCCATTGATTGATGATGAAAAAGCCTATGGAAATCATGGAATAATTTTTGTGAATAAAGATTTCTTAACAGTTGGCTTTTTTATATATATATTTATTTCAGTTCGGCAGAAAGTTCTGGAGAGAGAGAACCACGAGTTAGTATTACCAGGAAAAGGAACATTCAAGTTAACTCTCCAGTTGCCCACAGATGATGTCCATGATGCCTCTGAGGGGAAAAGTCCAACAAAAGTAAGTAAAGGAGTGAGTAAAAGGGAAGTAGGGTGTTTTCTCAAGGTGTGTGGGATGGGAAGCACAATGAGGACAATCTAGTGGAGTGAGAAAAGCCACTTACAGTTGTGGAGGAAGTGAGAGTGGTGGTAGAGTAGGTGTGGAATAGTAGGTGGCAGTTTTGTTTGACTTAGACACTTGCAAAAGTCAGAGTTTGGGAATTATAATAAGAGTGGTTTGAGATGTAAAATTTGAGGTCTGTTGATCCTGGGTGCTCTTAACCTGGAACTTGCTGTACTTGTTTTATTTCTACATTGTTTTGAGGGGGCAGTGATCTATATCGCATGGACTAAGTATTTCCTCAGTGTAAAATGGTATAGTAATAGCATCTCTCTCATTCGATTGTTGGAATGCTGTGAGAATTAGATGAGGCAGCCTTTGTAAAGCAAATGGCAAGGGGTTATTCATAGGAAACACTCAATAAATGTTAAATGAGAAAAAAAAAATGTAAGTCTTACCCCATACCCCAGACACTTGGTGTTCATTGGAGTTTCTATTATTTGCAAGTCACTTTTATCAATGGTTTTTGTGCTGAGTGAGTGGATGTGCCACTACACATGAGGTTCATTCAACAGCATCATTGCCAGAGCTTTTCATTATAGTTTCTATAGACCCTACATCTCCAGCCTGGTCCCAGGCACATTTTCTTAATGTAAAGAATTTATTAGTAATTTATTAATGCTATTTTATTCTTTGGATTTCAGGAATCTAAGACCAAAGAAAATGCCAAAGAACCAGGTAAGGTCTCAGTTGAGATGACTGGCCTTCGCCAGGCAGTTTTGCTTTTATTAAAGATGGCACATGTAGACATCATCCTTATCTTCTTGACTTCACAAGGCAGGGAATGCTCAGCTTGGAGATGCCTTGGACTGCATCATGTACATACTCTCAGAGAGCTTTGCAGAGGACAAACACTGGGAATGCCCCTTTACTATAAGGGTTCAGATCAAAAGGATGGGAACAGCAACCTCTGTGGGGACTGGGAGACGCCCTGTAATTGAGACGTGCCTAGAAGGCGGTGATGAACTGACCTTTAGAGCCCACCTGTGCCCAACCTGCCATCAAGAAACAAGGGCATGACATGTCAGTGGATGCTGTGTGTGGCTAAGTCAGTTTCTGAGCACTGGGTGTGGAAAGTGCTGTCCTCTGGAGCCCAACAGGAAGGTGTAGGTCCTTTGGATGAAAACTTCTGAGTGCTGGGTGCGGGATGTGGGTGCTGCCCTCCAGATCAGCAGCAGCTCTTCTCATCCCATCTGCTGAGAGAAACAGCCTGAAATCTAGTAGCTTTTGTGAACTCTGCTGCTTAACTAATGTCTGGATGTTGGCCTGTAGTACCACCTGACATTTACTAAAGAAGAGACTAGTTTTCCTGACTAAGCATGCTCTTCTTATAAAGGGAAGGAAATGATGAACTGTGTTGAATGGCTGAGCAAGAGAGATAAAGTGATACATATATCCAGATCTGAGGGAAAAGGAATTCCAAAAAAATGTGTAAATGTTGTCCTCTAAAGCTGAAATTGTCTTGAGAACATGTTTAAATTTTTGCAATTTTTTATTTTCGAAAATAAAAAATTTTGACACTAGGAAGAGAACTGCCTTTACTTGGTAAAACGACTGTTAATGATATGAATATAGATAGTTTTTACCTAACATGAATGTACTGTTAAACTGTAGAATCTAGTATGCATGGTTTTCTTAAGAAGCTCATGATTCTTATAAGATGGGATTTTTAGGGGGTCTCTTTAGAATAATTCATGTTTACCATTCTTCAGATATTGAACTGGCTCACTCAGCTCTCGATGTTCATTGTGACCCCTTAAATTCTTATCTATTTCTTAGAAGATGCCTTAAGTGCTGTACCCTCAAGTTCAATTTTAGACCAGGAATTGGTTTTATATTTGTACATTTATATCTGTACCATTTCCTGCAACTAGAATTTAATCAAGTCTGTGTTTCTTATGGTTTCATAGATTTTACCCTAACTCTCTGTTAACTGATTTGTTAGCACTGCTTCAGAGTTGCTTAAAACTCCAAGTGTATGTATTCTTGGGGACAGCCATCCAGCCCCATACCATCAATGGATTTTTCATTGTCCTGGAAATTTTAGACCCATTTACTAACCTAATTTTACCTTCTACCTGACCCAGACTAATGATAGTAACCAACCAGGAAGATGGGTAACCTGTCTTCAACAGGATACTTAAGTTGACCCTTTTAAGAGGTGGAAGAGCAGGTCCTTTGTTGAATAGTTACTCCACACTGAGTCCTGACAATGGCTCTAAGGGTAGGACTCTTGAAAGTAATTGGAACGGTATGGACAATTTTCAGAACTGAGAAAAATGAGGATAGAAGGGGGTTCCCTAATAGGTCTCATATCTCAGGGATGAGGAGAGCAAAGGATGCTATACCATGCCTAAAACCCAGAGCTTCAAGTTAAAGTTTGACGGGCAGTTGACAGAGCAGGGAAAGGTCAGTCAAGGCACACACCAGCATCAGGGAATGTGAGCCTTAAGCCAATGTCCAGTTCTAGGCCTAGCTGAGTTGGGCTGGGCATGAAAGGTGGAAACCAGCCAGTGGAAGAACCAGGAGAAGAGAGATGAGTAAGAGCAAGGAAATACTGGTCACTTGTGGTCAGGAAATTCTGGTTTATCCAAGTTTTTATTTCCAGCCTGGACTCTCCTCTAAATTATAGACCTCATGTCTGACCTTCTTGTTGGAACATATGTTAGAGCCAACATGTCTGAAGCCACCTGTATCATCCGTCTCCCCAAACCAGTGCCCTCTTCTGACTTCCTTATTTCTCTTGAAGTTCATAACCTGTCTACCCATTGCCTACTAGACATTTCAGTCATCTTTCCTTTCTAAGCTTTCACATACAATTAACCAAGCATCCCTTGTGATGAAGCTTCTAATTGTCATGGCATTACAAAACTATATTGCTGGAAAGGCTCTTACCATTCGCTTAGTTCAATACTCTCATTTTATAATTAAGAGATGTGTCCGAAGTCACATGGCTAAAGAGTGGTGGGGTCAGGAGTTGAACTCATGTAGCCTGACCCCCAGCCTAGTAGTCGTTCTGGTTTGTTATACCTGTCTCACTGAATGCTAGTTTATGTCATTATTGAATCGCTAAGCTATTTTTTTTTTATTTGACGTGAATGTATGTGCGTGGAGCCACGTTCAGCACATGGCAAGAGTATTTGTCAAGGTGCTCTAACTGCTGTAACAAACAACCCCCCAGATCAAAGTTCAGGGTAGTTGACAGCTAGGGTGGTGGGGAGAGTCTAGGCTGCTTCACACAGTCATTCGGAAACCCAGCCTCCTTCCATCTTTTGATACTATTATCCTGATATGTGGCCTCCAAGGTCACTGCAAGGGAGAATGGAGATCCATATGAAGGAGACGTGTATTGGCCATGCTTGGAAGTGGAACTCACCACTTCCACCCATATTTAATTAGCCACGTGAACCCTACTGTAGGAATTGAATTGTAGGAAGTCTGGGAAATGTTTCGCAGGTAGAAAACAAAATGGATTTGGTGAGCACATAGCATTTTGCTGTGCCATAATAAACAGTTCCCTTTCTCATTTTTCTTGAGTACCTCCATTAGAAAATTTGTAAGTTCCTTATCTAATGTTTTTTGTATGCACCCCTCTCCACACATCCAGTACCTTAAATATAATAAGGGCCTCAATTGAATAGTTGCTCAAAGAATGGCTAAAATTCACATTGTACTCATCATGCTTTACTGCACTGGACAAGTGTAGAGTGAGAATGACCTGATGCATATGAATAACTCAGTATGATCAACACTGGAGAGGAACAAGCTGGCTGGAATGATCGCTATTCAATGAGTTTGATGTATACCTACAGCTCTCTAGGTCATTTTACCTTCTATTTGTATCCCTTAGTCATTCAGTGCAAGTGTCTTTTTTTTTCTCTTCAGTGATAGGAACTTACTGCTTTTCAGATGCCCAGACATCAGTTGTTCTTGCTTTCCTGCAGTGGTCCCAGCAGTAAATCTCCAATTCAGCAAACAGTTATTGAGCCTCAAGTATATACCATGTGCCAGCAATACAAAGATGCATAAACATGTCCCTCACTTTTGAGAAACTGAGTTTGATTATTATAATATGGTGCTGTGATAGAAGTATATGTCAGCAGAAAAGGTGTAATAAAATTGAAAATAATATAATGATAATAAGGTACATTTTATTTTTAATTAATTTAAGTAAAAAGCCTTCTAAGATATGTTTTTATATGAGTTAGCCTAGAGGTTGGGAAAGAAAGAGGGCAGTGTCTTATGATAATTTACTTTGCTAAGACCGTGGTAGTAAATATAACATCTTGACCTCTTTTGTATCCCTAAAATCAGATGCGTCAAAAGAACTGGATAAGAAAAACTCTCTCAACAGAAGGTCAGAAAAAATGGAAGATAGCCCAAAAGAATGTGAAAATATTCCCTCTTTGGTTGCATTTGAAAATCTCAACACAAATGTGACTGATATCATGTTAATCTTGTTGGTGGAGAACATAAGTGGCCTGTCCAGTGATGATTTTCAAGTGGAAGTAATACGAGATTTTGATGTTGCCGTCGTTACCTTTCTAAAATATATAGGTAAGATTAAGTGATTCTTCATTTGCCAGTCTTCTTTGCACCACACTTTTGGGACTTGGGACACCCAACTAATGGAATGTCTCTGAAAATCTGAGTCTTTCTAGTAACTAATAAGAGAGACTCCAAGTTAACATAGGTCCTTTTTTATTTGAAAGAGAAGCAAATTTGTTTTGAATCCAAAGTCTGGTATATTTAATAGATCAAACTTTATTGTATGAGGTGTGTGTGTGTATGTGTATGTGTGTGTGTGTGTAGAGAGAGAGAGAGAGAGAGAGAAGGGGAGAGAGAGAGAGACAGAGAGACAGAGACAGAGACAAAGACAGTGATGATTTTTGAACTCAGTTCGAAGAGACTGAGAGACAGAGACAAAGAGGCAGAGACAGAGACAACACACCCAAATAGAAATCTAAAGTCTAAGGTTATTAAAGTGATTCCAAGCAGAAGAGTCAATGTTTTCACCTCGTTGGGAGAAGTAAATATTGATGTGTGTTACCAAATTGAACTTGAGGTTAATAATAATAATAATAGCAAGCACTCATATAGTGTTACTGTAAATTAGGTATTATGCTAAGCTCTTTCCATGTATTAATTAATTTGTTCCTTTCAACAATCTTTTGAGATTATTATTATTATTCCTCATTTTACACTTGAGACAAAGGTGCAGATAAATGGAAGAACTGGATTTGAACCCAGGCAGCACACCTCTATACAGCCTGTTCTCTTATCCCCTTTACCATGTATTTCCTTAATACTTTCATGGTCATCCACATATGCAAGGAGCATGTGATGCAAAAAAAAATGAGTGTTCTTTGAGGTCTGTGTGAGGAGTCTGTGAATGATCTCTGAGATGGAAGAGTCATCTCCAGAAAGACAAGGAAAATTTTCAGTTCGAGGCCCTCTCTATTCCATTGCCATGGAGGTGGAATGGTTAATTAAGAATGCAGGTCATGAAGTCAAAATTCTAGATTCTCCATTAAACTAATTATCTGAGGTTGGTCAATTTACTACCTTCTGTGTGCCTTATTTTTCTCATCTATAAAATGGGAATAGTAATGCCTATCTGATATAGTTTCTATGAAGATTAAATGAAATAATGTTTGCAAAGCTCTTGACATAGTACCTGAGACGTGATAAGGACTCAATAAAAGAAGCTATTCTTATTTCAAATTTATGATTATTTTTTATAAAGGTAAAACTAGATGGACTTGCTTTTGTTCATTGATCAAAAACTTGGACACCTGCTGTATGCACTTGTCTAGGTGCAGTAGGTACAGAGATAAATAATTCTTGGCTCTTGCTTTTGAGAAATTCATATGGGGAAGGGAAGTAACCCATGTGTAAATGAATAATGAAGATGTAAGAGGAGAAGCTGCCTTCTTCAGCTGTGAACAGCAGGCCGTGGAGAATGGGAAGGAAGGGAACCTATACAAAGTGGCTTGGTTTTGCCCTGCCTACTCCCTTTTATGAAGTATATACTTCAGTAGTACCAGTTTATTAGGTCCCAAATACACTATGTTGTTTCATGCCATTGCTGTTCTCTCTGCCTGAAATATTTTCTCCCCTTATCTAGCTAGTTAAACTCTTCTTCATCCTTCAAAACTTAGGTCAGTGATTGCCTACTCTGGGAATCCTTGTCTGAGTGCCAGTAGGCCACTTGTTTGCTTTTAGGATGTCCTCCCTCCTGGGCAGTGAATGTTCAAGTACTTGTTATATTCATCACTCTATCCTTAGCTCCTAGCACAGTGCCTGGTACATTGTGGGCTCACAATCAATATTCATTTATTTGAAAGAGATAATTGGGCTGAGTCTTGAAGGAGGAATAGAATCAGGATAAAAATTGGAGAAGGGCATTTCAGGCACAGGAAATGATATATATGTATGAAAGCAAAAGAGAACGGGTTTTCAAAATAATGGCTAGTTTTGGGTTTTTTTTGTTTGGGTTTTTTTGGGGTTTTTTTTGTTGTTGTTTTTTTTTTTTTTGGTATTATGGAAAATAAAATGAATGGCAAAGAATAACCAGAGGTGATATTTGGAAATTAGTTTGGAGTCAAATAGCCAAAGGCATTGTAAGCCTAGCAAAGAGTGTGGACTCATGCCTGCAGGTAATAGGGAGCCATTGAAGGACTTGAGGAAGCAGTGAAATGAGGAGATTTGTGTTGTAGAGAAAGATTTGTGTTGGCGATGTCAAGGAGGGTTGGAGAGGGTTGTGAGTGGAGGAGGGACACAACTCAGTGGCCATAATCCAGGTAAGATATTCATATATGCATCATTGTTCAGAGACTGGAAGTTTTAAGCATGTCATTTCTCATTTAGGGATTAAAATCTTGCATCTAGCTCTACCCTTTATCTCAATATTCAGACAGTTTCTTCTGTATAATGTAAAAATATAAACATAATTTTCTGATTGATTGATTTTGATTTGTAGATCCCATGCAATTTGTTGATGTTTGTGCCACACACCATTCAGTGAAACACCTTCAGCTTTCTCCAAGACTTCTGGAGGAGACAAAAAGAATCAGGGTCGAAAACCTGCCGCCTGGTGTTGATGACTATAATCTGAAATGTTTTTTTGAAAATCCTCAAAATGGAGGGGGAAAAATTACCAGTGTTGAATGTTTTCCTGAAGAGAGTTCAGCTCTGATTGAATTTTTTGACAGAAAAGGTAATATCTATTAGCCTGATTTTGTAGACCTGGCATAATCTAAACCACCACTTTAGCAGATCTTAACTATTATCAATTGAATTCCAGTGTATTTTCTTTTTTATTTGTATATTTCATTGGTAATCCAATTAGTAATCAGGTTCCTCTGGAATATGATGCTTAATGAGTCCAGCGATTCAGATTTTTAAAAAGTAAGTTAAATTTTTGAAAAATATAAGGAGATTCTCTCATGAGTCTCTACCTATGATGAACTGAAAAATATATAATTCTCAGAATCTTGGAAATACTGTATTAAAAAAAGAGATGATCTGTGTTTCAGCTGTACACTTGGTAGAAATTCTCAAATTAATTTTGATAAGGTTAGATAAAGAAACACTCAGAAACATGAACAGTTCCTATAAAGCATCAACACTTTCCCTTTCACCTGTCAATGTCATTCAGAAATTAATAAGGGTGATTTCACATTATCAGTGGATGCCTGCTGGGTTGTTCTTTTCGGTGACCCTGTGAAAACCATGTCCAGCCGAATCTTAGGGAAACACTTCTGAGGGTTTTACAGACATAGATTTCTAGCTGTCTGAGGCTCGTGCAAAGTCAGCATGGAGAGTTCATTGATGTTCAGAGGTCAAGGCTGAGAAGTAGGAATTGGAGGGCCAGACTT